CCCTTGAACCCCCAGGCATGGTGCGCGGCGCCACCAAGGGGCTGATCATTGACCTGGGCTTTGTTCTGGAGGGCCAAGAGGAGGAGGAGCTGCCAGAGGCACTGCTGGGAGCCTACAGGTGCAGCCCTGCGACCCCGCAGCCCTTGAACCCTAAACCCCAGCACTTCTTGATGATGAACCCTGAACCCGCCAAGCAGCGGGTGCATAGGGGGTACACTTCGCCGGGATGGGAGGCGGTGTCGGCCCGGCAGGCCGCGGCGGCGGTAGGGGGGAAGCCCGCTGCAGAAGCGGCCGCAGCTTGCCCGCGCTCTGGGGATCCTGGAAGGCCCAGCCGCCGATTGTCTGCGCGCGCATGGCGTGTCGCACCCAAGCAGTCGAGCCGCCCAGGGCGCGAGCTGGCAAGGTGACCCTCCTGCGCTCCACCCTTGCGGCAGCCTCAAACTCAATCGTTGCCCAACCCCCAGGCTCTCCTATATGGACATCGGCGAAGCCCAGTACCTCGACACATCAGTCGAGTTACCGCTCCCCGAAGCCCCTCGCTCCACCACCAGCCCCTCCAAGCCCGCCGCCGCCCCCGCCGTCGCCGCGTCCCCGTTCTCGGAGCCGCGCTCGCCGGCTGCCGCGGGCGGCGCAGGCGCCGGCATCGGACTAAACGGCGCGTCCGGCGGCGCGCAGCACCTGCGGCGGGTGCGGTCGCGGGTGGAAGGGCCGGGCGCCGAGCCGCGCACGGCCGTGCAGGAGGGCGGCGGGGGTGTGAGCGGCGGCAGCGGCAGGCAGGAAACGGAGCAGCACCATCAGCAGCAGGACTTGGCAGGGGCGCCCAAGACCATGACCACTCACTCTCGTAACAGGTGAGTGTGGGGCTTGCCCTCCAGGCTGGGTTTTTGGGTTCCGCAAGGATGGGCGGGAGCGGGCCTCAAGGCACACCCAGCAGCGGCTTGGGCGTGCGCACGCCACGCGCGTGACTGTCATTCCCGCCACTGCGCGGGCCGTGCCCCCCTCACGCAAAGTCCGCCCTGCAGGGTGTTGAGTGCTGCCTCGCGCCGCCGGGCCTCCTGCCCGCCGCTGTGCCGCCGCATGCGTCGGCCTGGTAGCACCGCTTGCCCCAGCACTACCGGCACCCCCCGTGCGCACTGCCCACTGTTGGCATGCCCACCCACGTGACCCCGCAGGTCAAACACTTCTGTCGAGGACTTGTTGGGGCCGGCCGCGGCCGCCGCGCTGCTGGGCAAGCAGCAGCAGCAGCAGCCGCAGCAGCAGCGCCCACCCAGCGTGCCGCCGCTCGAGTGCGGGGCGCAGCGGGGCGCCCCTGCGCGCCCGACGCCGCCGGCCCAGCAGCATGGCGTGGCCCGCGACCTCTTTGCCGGCGCAGACGCGGCCGTCGGGGGCGAGGGCGGCGCCGCGGCGCCAGACACGCAGGACGTCGCCGGGCGCAACCAGCATGCGCCGCGTGCGGTCGCACCGAGCTCCCCGCGCGTGATCCCCGGCCCGGGTAGCGGCAGCGGCAGCGGCAGCAGCGGCGGCGGCGGCATCCCGGCGGGCTACCGGCACAGGCGCACGAGCAGCGACTCGGTGGCGCGCCATGTAGCAGGCGCCGGCGCCGCCGCCGACCCTCGAGGCGGCGGCAGCGGGGACGCGCGGGGCATTGTGTTTGGTGCGGCCGGCAGCGCCAGCGGCACCGGCAGCGGGGGCGGCGGCGGGCCGAGCGCGGCGGGGAGCACGGGTGCTCTGTCTGCGCTCGCGCGCGCGTCGGGCGACGGGGGCGGCGGCGCCGCCATGCAGGCGGCGGCGGCGGCGGCCGGCAAGCGGCGGCTGTCGGCGGCGGACTACATCACCCGCGCCCACGCGGTGGCGATGGCGGCCTCAGCGCAGCGGCGCAGCAGCGCGGCCTCCTCCGGCGCGAGCGGCGATGCCAACAGCAGCGGCGGCGCCGGCGCCGGCGCCGGCATGCCCCGGCCGCACCACCGCGCCGCGCGCTCCCTGGCCAGTGACCAGTTTGGCGGCGCGTCGCCTGGGGCCGCCAACGGCAGCGGCGGCGGGCTGAGCGGCAGCTTTCCCCCGCCACTGATGACGTTCGCTTCGACGCCGCTGCCTCAGGGCAAGCTCGGGGTCGAGCGCCGCGCGTCGAGCAGCCTCGCTTCGCCCCGCAACCGTTCAAACTGGAGCGCGACTAACAGCAACGGCGGCAGCGGCGGCGGCGGCGGCCAGGAGGGCTCGCCGGCCGGGGGCGGCGATAGCGGGGGCGCCGGTCGTGGCGGGGCGACCGGCAAGGCGTGGCGGCACAAGCGGCACGTGAGCGGCAGCGTGGCATCATGAGGTTTGCTTGAGGTTAAACTGGGGACGGCAGCTTCTTGTCGGGTATTCAACCGCAATCTTATAGCGTGTGGGGTTTGGGCGCTGCCGCTTCTTCAACCGTAATCCAAGGCGATGCGTCCTTGATGGATTTGCTTACCGGTATCCTTTGGGCCCCTTTCATGGCGGCGCAGCTTGCGTGCTCCGGCCCTTGTCATTTCTGGTCGCTCTTGACGCATGGTTTGCTGCTGCTTGAGCGCACTCACCCGCTGTAAAGTGCGGATGGTTCCGAATGTGGGTGGTTCTCAAACAGCTCAGGACAACACACAACATCTCTGGCCGGTCAAAGTACTGTGCACAGGGTCAGGTTCAGAGTTTCGGAGGCCCCATCACACCGCATCATAGGCTTGCTCATGGAGGCCCTGCTGCTTGGCGTCCTTTGCAGCAGCCAGGCGGGTCATGTTGGCAAACGCTTAAAAATGCGGCGCCAGCCCGCCTGAATCGGGCCAGTTGGTCACAAAAGGGTAGCCTGCATGCGGGTCCAGGAGGTCCACGGTCCAGGCGCAAGTGCTGCGCTGGCGGCATGTGACAGCAACCTCTGGCATCACCGGGGAACGATGACGTGTGCAGAGAAGTCGCAACGGGTGGTGCCATCAGCAATTGTGCCAAAGTATTCATCACACTAGTAACCCAGCTTTCTTGCAGCAAAAAGTTTGCGTGAGAGGCGCTGCGTTTTGCAAGATTGCGGAGCTTTCTGTTCTGCCTGGATCCATGAGATTGCGAAACCGCCTTTGTATTTGCGAGGAGAAGTTTAGATTGGAGCCAAGCTTACTTTGAATGACATATTGGACGTTGCGCATCTCCTGATTCAGTGCTCTGGCAGCGTCCGTGGATGAAAACCATCACACCGCGCGTTGGAGGTCGCTTTTGCCTCACTGCCGATAGCAGTGGTTTGTAAATAGGTGTGGGTCGCCAAAGATAAAAAGTCACCCGGCAGTCGCCCGTAAATCCATTTACCCGAAGTGCTCGCACCAGGTGACGACTCACAGCGACGCCCGCGCATGCAACGCATCGCACCTTCGCAAACCTGAATTGTCATATTTAATTCCCAACCTTGATTGCGCTCTTTAGGTGCCTGCGCCCGCGGGCGCCACAGCGACGGGGCCGCAGACTGCTGCGCCACCTCCATCCTACGACAGCGCGGGGTGGCGCCAGCTTGCCCCCTCGTCCGCCGCTCTCTCGCTCAAGCTGAGCAGCGCGGATCAGCAAAAGCCCGTCGCCGGCCATTGAACCAGCCGCGGCAACCGCACCGGCCGCGCGCACGCAGCGGGCGCGGCGGCCGCGATGCCCGTCGTGTATGCTCTTGTAGCGCGCGCGAGCGATGAGGAAGTGCTCGCGCAGCACGCGACCGTCGGCGCCGCCAGGGGCCTGGCCACGGTCGCGATGGAGTCCTGGCGCACGTATAAAGACCCGTCCGACGGCGAAACGGACGACGACCTGGCCGCGGTCGCGGACGCGCGCCCGGACGAGCGGTTCGCGGTTATGTGCGACAACCTGACATTCACAGTTCTCACGCGCGGCGGCTTCGTGTTCGTCGTTGTCGCCGACGAGGCGTGCGCGGGCCGCGGCATCCCCGGCGTGTGCGCGCAGCGCGTGAGCGACGCGTGGATGGAGCGGCTGGGGGAGGTCGGGCTGCACGCCAAGCCTGCGGTGCTGCAGCGCGCGTTCGGGTGAGCGATGGCGCCGGGCGGCGGCGCCGGCCGGGCTCCGCCGCGGGCCGCGCCGGGCGCATGCGCACGGTCGCCCCCTGCGACCGCGGCTACGCTTATTGCAACCGCCTGACCCTGACTGCCTGCCGCGGCCGGGGCGCCCCTTCCGCGTCCCCCAGCCGTCCGCCGCCCCTTCAGCTGCCCCGCGCGCCCGCTCCCCGCACCCCAGCGGTATCCTGAAGCGCGAGCTCGCCTACTGCGAGTCCCACGCCGGCGAGCTCAGCCGCGTGGCTGCCGTGCAGAACAAGGTGGACGAGGTCAAGGGCATCCTCATAGCCAACGTGGAGAACGTGAGCACCCCCCCCCCTGGCTTGCCTCCCCATCCCCCCGAATGGCTGTGGCGCACTGACCCTGTTGCGACCATGCAATATGCAGCTGCATTGAGACGGAGCGCAGCGCGCGGCGCGCCCACCTGCCCTCGCCCCTCGACCGAGCGCTGCGCCGCCCGCCCTCGAGCGAACTGCAAGCTTCGAACGCCGGCGGCTAGTGGGGCAGAGAGCCGTTTTTGCATGGGGGGGCTCAGAGGGCGCCTGGCATGGCTGCCGCTGCGGAGGCCCTGCCGCCGCGTGGACCGCGCCCCTAAACAGAGCTGTTGTGTGCTGCTCAACCCCGCCAGGTGGTCCGCTGCATGGAGCAGCTGGATGGGGTGCAGAAGGGCGCGGCCGGCGCGACCGAGGAGGCAGCCGCGTTCAGGGAGCAGGGCGCAAAAATCAGGTCGCGCCTGCGCTGCACATGCGGCCTGAAGCTCTGCCTAGTCGTCGCTGCTGTGCTCATCGCTGTCGCCATCGCGTCGGCTGTGTGCTTTGGCACCTCTGTCTGCCACAGCGGCGCGGGCGGGGGCGGGGGCGCAGTGACGGCCGCGGCGCCGGCGCCGCCGCCTGCAACGGTGCCTGCCGAGGCGGCGCCGGCCGGCGGGGCGCCGCGGCCGTTTGGGATGAACAGTCTGACCAGGGGCACTCAGGACACAGGCGGTGTGCTGCGCGGCCCGATGGCTGGCCCAGTGATGGTGCCGTCATTTACGCCACCAGGCTCCACGGGACACTGAGGTGCTGGCAGCCGCACCTGCCGCCGTTCTGTGACCTGCTGCAACCCCTGCGTACATAACTCTGCCCGGATGACCCAAACCGGCGCCCGCAGCGTCACGCAGAACGCGCTGCTGGGATGGTGCGACGGCCGGGCGCACGTGTTGCTGACCGGCGCATCGCCCGCCGTGCGCACTTGGACCCTCTCCATCCACACTGCCGGTGTGGGGCTGCGTGCATCCACGCCCTCCAAACCCTTACGCTGGCATTGCACCGCATATATGAACAAGAGTTCCTGCACTGCCCCTGACATGCCATTGGTTTTGGCGGCACTGACCGTGGCACCTTCCAGCACATTCGCACAGCTTTGCATAGCAGGTTGTATTCACTTTCCCTTGGTGGACTGTTCAGGCCTGTTGCGGCTTTGCTACCGGCGCTCTTGTGCAAGGCGCCGCGCCGCCCATGTTTTTTCTGCGACCGTTTTGAGCACTGTTCAGGGTGCGCACTGCTGCATCCACCTTGCTGCCGGGCGCCGCGATGGCTGCGGCGCTTGCGACCGCGATGACCACGCGCGCACGCTATCTGCGTCACGCACACGGCCCTTTTTGAAAAGCGCTTCGTTATCAAAGCATGCACAACAAGAGTGCACGTGACCAGGCTGACAAGTGGTGCACACTACCCCGCCACGCTGCACATGCCGGCGCCCAGGCTCATCAGTCGGGTGCATGGCCGTTCACGCCCTCAACCAACCTGACAGCCCTTAAAACTGCTGTAAAACACGTGAATCATGTTTTCGGGGCGTCACATGCAGTTTTACCCGCGCTTCACGCGGCAACTGATGTTTCCAAACCAGGTCACTTCGGTCGGTCCATCTTCGGCCCCCTCTTTGCGACTCGGCCGTTACGGTGCAAACGTGCAGGCAGAGAGTTTAACAACTAGCAGCTCTCCATTCCCGCTAGCAGCGAGGCCAGAACGGGACGTAGACCCCAAGTGTCACAGCGGTCACTTGGCTCTAAGCGTCGGTGCGTTGCGATTAGTGGCTAGCAACATTTGAGAGGAAGACTTGATATGGCTCGATGGTCGCTGTGCTGGCCCCGAGCCGGCGCCGCCCGCCCGGTCCTTCTGGCGCTGCATCTCGTGCGAGAAGAGCGCCTTCGGTTGCGCGTCGCGTGCCCCTTGCAATCAGACCAGGCCTACGCACTCTGCACTGCTGCTCAAGGCTGCCCCAACTAACCCCACCCATTCATGCCCTCACCCGCAGCCGGCCGTCACAAAGTGGCCCGGGCAGGGTTGCCACAGTCGTCGCCGCCGCCAACGCACGGCGAACAGTCCCTGCGGCCCAAGAGCACGACCGCGGACGCGCACCTAGCGGGAGCACGCTCTCCGGCCAGCAGCAGCCGCTGCCGCGGCCCCGCGGCGCCCGCGAGCAGCCATGCCGCTCGCGTATGCGCTCGTCGCGCGCGCCAGCGACGGCGCCGTGCTCGCGCAGCACTCGTTCGTCGCCGGCAACTTCGAGTCCGTCGCCATGGAGTGCCTGCAGCGAATGCAGCACGGCTACGACGACAAGTTCACCGTAAACTGCGACGGTTACACGTTCAACTACCTGCTGCACGCCGGTTACGTGTTCGCGGTCGCCGCTGACGAGGCGTACGGGCGGCAGGTGCCCTTCGCGTGCGCTCAGCGGGTCTGTGACGCCTGGATGGAGAAGTTTGCGTCAAAGGGACGCAGCGCGGGGCCGTACGGCATGGACAAAAACTTCAGGTTGGTCCCGCGCGTGTCTGAGGGCTGGGGTCGATGGGGGCCGCGTGTTGACCGACACGCACGTCAAGCATGCGTGGGCGCACTCGCTGCCTGGTGCCGTGTCGAGGGGTGGGCATGGGGGTAAATCCCCCAGCCCAAGGGCTGGGACCCATGCCACAGGGCCTGGAGTCCCTTTGCAGACGCGACATGGCAGGGTGCTGCTTGCCCGGAAAGCTCCATGCCGCGCCATCCGCGGCACCAGGCGCAGCCGCGTGCGCCGCGCGGCCGGGGCTGCGGTCGGGCGCTGGGCAGTGCTGCCTGGCCGCGGCCCCGGGGTTGGGCGGCCGGCTGCGCGGTCAAGCGGTGCGTGGGTTGCCGGCATTGCGGGCGGCCAGCCCTTTCCTGCAGCGGTCCCCACATCCGCCTTGTCGGCCGCGCAAGCTGCATAGCAAAGCACCCCCGACACGCTGCACGGATCCGCCGCAGCCCCGTGCTCAAGCGGGAGATGGAGTTTTGCCAGTCCCACCCGTCAGAGATGGGCCGCGTGGCGGCGGTGCAGCAGAAGGTCGACGCGGTCAAGGGCGTCATGGTGCGGGCTGGTGACGTGGTGTGTGTGTTTGCTGACTCAGCACGTTGTGATGGCGTATGCGTTGACGTGCACGCGATGTGCATGGGGCGGCGTCTGTGGGTGTTAAAAACGGCCGGCTGACGCCCGGCTGGGTCGTGAGTCGTGTCGGAAGCCGCGCGCACCGGTCCTTGTGGTTGCAGCCGCAGCGGCCCGCGGCGCCGCTGGTGGGCTGGGCGCCACCCAGGCCGACGCGAGCAGCGGCCGCTGTGTGTGCAGCGTGCGGTACCACTGGGCATCCACTGCAGCTGCGCGCTCCCCGCCGCCGCATCCCCGGGCCGCTGCACGCATCCACACACCCTTGGAGCAGCTTGTGCGCATGCGTTTGCATCCTGTGCGGGCGTGTGTGCACGTGCAACCCCGCTGTCCGGTCAAGAACGCCCCTCCCC